CTCATTCAGAGTTCAAAAACCCATTCATAACAAGGGGGTGTTAAATCAACACCGAAAAGTTTAACACAGAAATTTTAACACCTGTTTTTTTTTTTTTGCTGTGTATGTGCCTGTATGAGTTTTCTCTGCAGAGCATCTGGACTCTCAGATAGGGTGAAACRTTTAGTTATAAAGAGAGACTCAGAGCAGAGCCGCTGCTCCTCCACRTCGAGAGGAGCCAGYTGAGGTTGTTCAGTCATCTGGTAAAGATRCCTTCTCTATGTTTTCCCAGGTGAGGTGCTTCAGGCATGTTTGACTGGGAGGAGACCTCGAGGAAGAACAGGACACACTGGAAAGACCATGTCTCCCGACTGGCCTCGGAATGACCTGAAATGCTCCCAGATAAGATGGGGAAGGTGGCTGGGGAAAGAGAGGTCTGGGCCTCCATGCTGCTGCCCCCACAACCCAACTCTGGAACAAGAGGAAGATAATGGATGGATTTATAGATGTGTTTTGGAGTTTTGTGATGCTTAGGGCATAGAAATATAAAAATCTATCGTACCATGACTGCTTTTCTTGGGGTTTTTTCTGTTTAATTTAATTATTTACAGTTTTTATAAACCATCAGTTTGAGAGACGACCATTGTTCTAGCTGGGGATTCTATTCACCATTCTCCACGAGGACTCGCATAACTTCCTTTGAAGGTCAAGCAGTAAGATAAAAACACCTAAAAGAAAGACAAATGGTCTGATCTGGGTTTTTTTCTTCTTCTTTTGCTGYTCATTTACATATTTCAACTCCCTCTTCAGCTCATTGCATTGCTCCTACTTGGACTCTTCCTGTTTTTTTCCCTCTCTTGGCATTGCCTCTGGCACCAGATGCAGCCCAGTTATCTGGCCCAGACTCTGACGTGCAGCTGAGCCCCAGGTTTCTGGTGCCACAGATACGACGTGTGTTTGACTGTAATCCGATGGGTGCTGAGAACTTTTCATGCTTAGTCAGCGTGGTGCTCCTTTCGGCCACCTCGTGCATCACGGAGTCACCGAGCAGGAACGCTTCGTAGGCGTCGCACAGCCAGATGAGCTTACTCACTATCAGTCTGCAGTCTCAGTTGGCAGGTGGTGCTGAGCCTGTAACCGTGGCAACCCTCTCTCTACAGTTTTTTTCCTCCAGTTTCAACAACCCATCCATCCTTCTGGCTCTGTGGCTCCGCATCACGTGTTGCTCTGCTCTCTGTTATCATATCATCATCGCTGTGAAGCATCATTATTATAATTATCAGTTTCATTGTCACAGAACCACTCTGAGTGCAGCAATTAGGAGCCCGACTCAAAGGGTAATGAACTGATTTATGCAGTAAATTAAAGGCCTAGCATTCCTTTAAAGAATGCATGTCACCCTCTGCCTTTCACGACACAGTTTTAAACTAAAATCATGTCCAGAATAAACAGTTAAAGCCATTTTAATCAAACCTATGTGTGATATAATGCAAGCTCTATTACAATCTGTTAGTTCTCACTGTAAGTGATGGAGATGACTCTCAGCTACTACCACACCAACTATTAGCTCATTGTTAAACTGACTGAGGTACATTGATTTTTGTATTTGCTAAGTTGATTAGCTGTGGTGGCCATCTTGAATAAAGTTTCATTCTAGATAGACATCTGTTAATTTATAAGATTTTATTTAAAGTCATCCACTGACTGATGAGATATTTTGCCAACAGGCAGACATAAGGATATCAGTGACGGCACAAAAGACTGACAAGGTGAAAAGGCAAGCAATATACTTTTGGCCTGTGTGCAGAGGTTTAAAGTAACTAAGTACATTTACTTTATCACAATACTTAAGTAGTTTTTTTGAGGATTCGTAATTTTACGAATCATTTTTAAAGAGCTACTTTTACTTTTATTTTGTTACATTTTAAAGCTAAAATGAGACTTTTACTTATATYCTTTAARATGTAACACCTAGTTTCTCATTACAAAATTAAAYATGTTTGWACTCATCATGAGAGATGTTTCTGTACTGTAAAAAAGGAAGTGTTGAATTTACTCAACAAAGTCATGTCAGCTAGCTCAGTAAATTGAGCAAAGAATGCACTTATATTGCTCAATTTACTCATCCTGCTTTAGTGGAACCAGTTTGGTTCAGTAAATTCAACAGTTTATTTCTGATAGTGTGTAAAAGTACTTTTACTTTCCCAATTGACTTGAGTAGTTTTCTCATCTGTAAAATTTATTTTTACCAAAGTAATTTTCTGTTTACAATATTTTACTTTTATTTAGTTATTTTTTTCAAGTATAGACCTCTGTCTGTGTGTGTGTGTTTCTTTGCTAGCAAAACATCTAACGAACAACTGTGTGGATTTTACAGAAACTCAGAAAATAATCATTGGCTGCACATCTGGAACTAATTACATTTAGGTTGGACGTCACAACTTATCGTCGTAAGAAAACGTAAAAAGTTCTATAGTGTGACCAGTTTTACATATACAGAGCTAAAATCTGATAGGGTAGTGACTGAGAGTCATGCACAACATATACACTGGGTGCTAACCAAGCACATGAGTAAGCAGAGCAGTTGCTTCCACCTGAGTGGTTACAACTCAGTCATTTCTCATCACAACATTTTTAGTTTTAAACCTTAAAGGGGGGCGGGGTTAATATGTATTTTCCTGGCACATACTTTGATTCTACACSACAATCATGTAACTATGCTACCTCAGTTKTTAGGAAAACCCTGTACGTATCAAAAATAAATTTGACTTTGCATCATAGTCTTTCTAAACACCTTGAAATTGGCCTCTGYCTCTTTAAGAACCTCCTACCATTTCAGACACTCCCACTTCAGCAATTATACTGTCAATTTTTCATAGTAACCACACCCCAACACACACACACACACACACACACACACACACACACACACACACACACACACACACACACACACGCACGCATCTTTAATATGAAAGCCAGATGGCTTTTCTTCAAGGAATGCTTGACTCTCAATTATTTATATGATAACTGCTTGTTTTTTGTGTTTAAATAACTTTACTACACGCCATGTGTAATGCTGCTGCAATGTTTTCTATTCTTTTGCAAAATGTTCTTATTCCTTACATTTATCTCCATGCAAACATTGGCAACTATTATTATCAAGTTTGTAAGTTAAAAGTAGCATTAATGACATGTTTTGATGTAACCATCCTAATAAACTCTTTATATCCACCTGTGCAGATGACTGGTTTATTCATGACAAACATTATCAGGGCTTGTTTTGATGAAATGAGGTTCTTTTGATTTCTCCTAAAGACAAAGTGTGTCATCACTTGAAATAAGGGTCTGTCAGGTCAGAAGGAAACAGTGTAATGTGGTTCAGATGTGGGGAAGGAGAACAAAACAAACAGGCAGACAGAAGGAGGCAGACAGCTCACCTGGAACATCACTCTGTATTGTTCCTCAGGCTTTTGAACCACACACATGTTGCACCCCATGACGGCTTTAAACAAGGTTAACAACTCTGCGGGCCCAACAGCTGAAAACCAGGACTCTTTGTCTGTGGCAGTGGGAGAGCCCCACCCTCATTCGCTGGGGTTGTGCTGTACAACACGAGTCCTCCTCAGAGCGACACACAACCAAGCAGGAAGGAACTGTGTCTCTGTGCTCACAGGTTTGAACAAGAAAATCCTCAGAAAGTTCGATCAAGTCTGTGTGCTTGTTGTAAATTAAATAGSATCAAGTCAGAGTCTCCTTTGTGCCGTTATTCCTGCAAAAATGAGAGATGTGCCCTAAATTTCCGTTTGGTTTGTGCTTTAGGTTTCAGGCATTTATTTCAGTCCATAGTTGTGCCGACTTGTTTTACCCAGCTGGTCTGGGTGACTGAGGTCTAAAACTGCAGCACGGAGCAGTTTGCTCCTCGTGGAACTGTCAGTCACAACGCTGCACATCCAAACAAAGYTGTGCGATCACTGGACTCCTCACTCCCTCGACCACACGGCCCAACCTGCTGTGCCTCGCAACTTTCCAGGTTTGCTGAAGGGCCGCTGAGTGTGTCTGCAGTGATAACGTGTGTAACCCCCCACACACACACACACACACACCGAAAGCCCAGTCAGCACACACTCCTGCTCCGCTCATCTACTCCAGAATCAGAGCATGCTTAGAGGGGTTTCTGTAAGTGGCTGCACTGAAACTCGCTGAGTGTAAAAAGTGGGACTGACTGTGGAGGGTGAGGTGGAGCCCATGACTCCATTAGCCTGAAGCTGGAAGCTGGAAGCTGTGCTGCTAAGATAAGGTGAATCCACCTGTGTCAGGATGGGCGACAACCCACCATCCTTTCAACCACACACACACACACACACACGGTTTAATTTCCCCACGCGCTCAGTTGAAGTGTCACTTTATAAAAAAGCTTCTCCAAGCATTTTATAGAAAACTTATAAAAACAGCAGCTACAGACTTTTGCTGTAAATCGTAGCAGACATCTGGATTGTTCCTCAGACACCAAAACAAATATTGTAGTATTGATCAGCAGCTCTGTTTTCACACCACTCCACCTCGTAAGCACTGATCAAACAAGACTCTTGAGAAAAATCGACTAAAAAGACAAAAAAAAAAACTTGTGGATCACTTGTTTTGTGACAAACCTCTCTGGAACACTTTCTTACATAATTAAACAGTTCATTTGTGCAGGAGCCTTTTCTTTAAGGTCATGCAGGTTAAACCTGGGTCTTTCATTAATCCTCGACAATGTTTCAAAGCTAATCCTCCAACACTTGGATCCTTCTGTGGCTCCTCACACTACACATAAACCCCTCTCTCCTCTTAATGAGAGGCATGATAACTTGGAGGGTTGCAAAAACAAAAACAACAACAACCACCAGGTAGTTTGGAGAGGCAGGCATTYGATCAAACTGCAGCGAGGTGTCAGACACGCTCAGCAGGCAGGTGTGCTCCAGCTGTCATCTTCTCCCTCCRTCTCCATGTGCATGTGTCAGCCCTGCATGACTGCTTTCTGCTGGGGTGGCTTGGAGGATCGCCTTCCTGACATGCTTTCAGGAAAAAAAAAGTACGGCATGACATTAAAAATGATGCCTTTCTGCTGTGGAGTAAAAATGAGTCCTCGTGTGGCACAAACGCACGAGGAAAAGTTAGTCCGTCTTCATCTGAAGCAGGGAAATGAAAGAGAAAAAAACGCTTGTGCAGTTTAATCCTTCCTTTGTCCTCTGGTCATGTTTGTTTTTAAATATCCACATTAGATTGTGAATATGAAGGACAAAAAGAGAAAAACCTGTGAGTGTATTCCAGGTGGAGTGTGGAGCAGTGCCCGTCTCAGGTCAGTGATAAACGCCCATCAGCGTCCTCACAGGATCAGAGAAATCACTAACGGCTGATTGGAGGACACTTCTTGCCTTCTCCCCTTGGGCTCGACGGTAAATGCACTCCCCCACTGCAGCAGGGGAGGCAGTGGGGAGAGAAAGAGAGAGAAAGAGGCACAAAAGGCGCTTGTTTCCGAAGGAGGATGCAGATCTGCACGCTGCACCACTCCTGACTCTGAATCTTCTGAATCCTCCACACTTAATGGTTTCTCCCCCCACACCCACCTTCACTCCAGATTCAGGGCTGGGCTTTACTGCAATCTTCCCTCGTCCCCTCACCCCATAATTTTTACCCACACCCCATTTGCTACCCTCTACATCACTCCCCTCCCTCTCCCCTGCCTCTGTCTTTGCTTGTCTGCAGGCTGGAGGGAGCGAGCAGGAAAGTCTGCGCCTTCAGTGCGAGCAGGACAGAACGAGATAACAAGCAAAGCTACATAAAAGTGAATGAAATATCAAGGTTTTCATTTGCTGCACTATCAAGACACAGGCGGGGGGGGGGGGGGGCCTCCATCCATCCATCGGTGCCGTTTAAGCAATTCAGGGTCTGCTCGTGCTTTTCCAAGAAGTATTGAAAAGGAAAAAAAAGGATGATTGCTCTTTCTCATAGCAGGTGGAGAGAAAGAGAGAGAGGGAGAGGGAGAAAGAGAGTGTGTGACAGGTTGTGCATTTAGATGAGGCTCTGCACTGCCACAAGGAAGAAAAGGGAAAGGAGCAGGTGAAACCTTCACACATTGTTGCAGCAGCAAAGATACAGTATGAATCAAATTAAAGGTATTTTTCTTGTCAATGCACAAAAGAGTGAAAGCATTAAGGCTGATCATAAATTAAATGTAGATGAACAGGATAAGATCATTTGGTGATAAAAAAATGACAGAGTTTGGGTATTTTTGGTCAACTCTTGAAAATAAAAATTATTTGCAATATCATCCGATATCTCATGTGATCTTGCACAGTCTACTGACTAAAACCACATTGTTTTTAGCTGACTGTCTGTAAACCTTGCTGAGTTGTAGCCATTTCTTTTTAGGGTTCATTTGCTGTGGATTCATTTAAATGAAAAAAGTGTGAGTGAAAGTAAAAGTATCTTCACTAAGAATATTACTTGAACAAAATTCTTAAAGTATCCGATGTTTACATTTCAAATAACAATGGGACTTTGTGTAGAACATAAATAAAAACAGAATGTGATGATTTGCTAACTCTTTTTGACCTGTTTTCAATCAAACACAATACAAAGGTAAGATATTTATTGTTCAAATGGATAAACCTTTTAATTTGATGTCTACATGGACTCAGGAACACTTCTGAAAACCACTGTCAGTGAACACACTCCGTCTCCACAGCTACAAGTTCAAGTTAAAACTCAACAACATCCAGAAACATCACCAGCTTCCGACCTGGACCATCTGAGATGGACTGACACAAAGAGGGAAAGTGTCCTGTGGTCTGACGAGTCCACATTTCAAATTCTTTGTGGAAATCACAGACGTCATGTCCTCTGAGCCAAATAGGAGAAGGATTGTCCGGATTATCAGCACAAAGTTCTAAAGCCAGCCTCTCTGATGGTATGGGGGTGTATTAGTGCCCAAGACATGAGTAACTTGAATATCTGTGAAGGCTGAACGATACAAACAGGTTTTGGAGCAACATGCTACCACAGGGACGTCCTGCTTATTTCAGCAAGACAATGAAATCACATTCTGCACGTGATCAAACAAGGTGACTTCATGATAAAACAGTGCAGGTACTAGACTGCCTGCAGTCCAGACCTGTCTCCCATTCAAAATGTGTGGAGCATTATGAAGCACAAAATACAACAACAGAGACCTCAGACAGTTGAGCAACTGAAGTTGTTCATCAAGCAAGAATGGAAGGAATTCACTTTCAAAGCTTTAACAATTAGTGTCCTCAGTTCACAAAAGCTTCTGAGTGTGAAAGAAAAGGTGATGTAGAGTTAAACACGCCTCTGCCCCAGCTTTTTTTGGAACGTGTTTCCACAAAGTCCCAACTTCACTGGAAGTGGGGTTGTATATACAGTACCATATACTGTACCATATCTGGATAGTTTTTTTTAAATTGTTTTTAATACAATAACAATCTGAAATAAAAATAATCCTAAATGAAATAGGAGCAACAAAGCTATTTTTAAAATGTAAGAAGTAGAAGTAAAAAGTCAGCTGAAAAATAAATACTTCTGTAAAGTACAGATAGCCAAAATTTGTACTTGAGAAAGGAAAAAAAAGGATTTGCTCTTTGCTATTTTACACCTCTGGAACTCCCAAACTATTGCAGTTGTTTTGTCTGAGAGAAACAGACATATATTCCACTTTAATGAGGATATGTTCTGTACTTGTGAAATGCCTTTAGTATTGCTGGTTTGTTTATCTATTGTGTTGAGTTGGAAACTCTGCTGATTATCAAGTCAGATGGAGAGAATAAAAGAAGTGAAATAACAGGTGCTGATAAATAAAAAGATACGGAGGAGAGCCAAAGAGAAAGATGCAAATGAGTGTGTGGGAGAGCTGTGGTGGAGCCAAGATGAAGTGGAACTACGTTTTTCTGCAGTCATCACAATGACCTGATGATGAGAAGGAGGGGGGCTGTGTGGGACGCATATGGAGATATTTCATTTTAAATATCTTCCTGTCCCGGGAGATATCTGTATGTATTTTCCTCAGCTGCAGCTCCACAGACACACCCAGAACTCCTCATTAATTTCTCTTTAAAAAAAAAAAAGAGGCTGGAGGCAGACTGACTGCAGCACTCCTGCCAAACGCCTCCAGGCTCGACGGGAGAGGCAGGCCGTGCAGAGGAGAGGAGACTTTTTGTCAAAAACACTCTCTGCCACATCAGACGGAGCCATTTATCACCTGGCCTGAAATAAAGAGCCTCCTGTTGTCTAGTCTCTCCTTCTGTGTGTTTACCCCCTCCTCCTCCTCCTCCTCCTCCTCCTCCTCCTCCCGCACACGTTCAGCCTCCCGTGTTGGCGTATTTTCTATTAGCCGGGCTGAAACGGGATTTCATGGTGGCTCTGAGCGGTTCAACAGGCTTACACCTGTTCCTGGATGCACCCCTCACATGCTACACAGGAACACACACACACACACACACACACACACACACACACACACACA